TATCAATTTAGTAAGTACGTTTTATTCTGCGATAACACAATTAGATCAGAAGTATATGCTGGTATTTATTCATCGCTTCATAGAAAAGTAATTACATATAGATGGAAAAGATAACCATTTCAGATTTTGAAACATTTCAAGAGAATTGGTTTTCACGGGTTTGTTTAAAATAATTCTGGCGGTTCTTTTTTGTAATTTCGTTATTCTATATACGTTTAATTTGTCACTTAAAGTTTAAGACCATATAATACACCCATGATCAAAAGTAGCGGTTATGTAATAGAAAAAGCATCGAAACACGAGAGGCTAACTGATTTGTACGAGGGGTGTAGACCCCGAGTATAAATCAAATTGCCGAGTGTTTTGATGCTCTTTCTCTTTTGTATCATATTCAAACATAAAAACACGTTTCCTGTTGTCACAATATGAAACCCAAGAAAAAGAGTAACAAATGAATGAGCATCTGAATATGATATTTCTGTCGCTTTCCCCTTCTCTGCCGTCACAATAAGTAAACCCCAGCAAAATGAGCCAATCAATGTGCATGCCCTGGAGTGCGGGTAACTGATACCTGCACTGTGCATGTATATGTTTACGATTTAACTCTGACACATTTTTCATTTATCAAAGGAATTTGAAATATCTTGGCACAAATGATTTTTATGATAAGACGATGTGTCATGCCCAACAACCAGACCCCTTCCTCCAGGGTCAAGGTCGCACTTGCTCATTCAAGGTCAACATTGTCTTTTTGAAGGTATATGTCGTGTCCGGTCCATAACTTTCTTATCTTTGAAGGGATTTTGTCAAAACTTGCCACAATTGTTCACAATCATGAGGCGATGTGTCATGCGCAAAAACCCATGCAAGCACTTAAATTTTAAAAATACTTGGCACAAATAGTCACAATGATAAGATGATATGTCATGCGTAACACCTGTGTCAAAACATGGGTCCCTACCTCCCGGGTCACACTTAGAGGTCAAAGATTAACATAGTCTGTTATAGTGTACATTTTGTGTCCGATCTATATATTCTTCATAGTTGAAGGGATTTTGAAAATACTTGGCACAAATAGTTAAAATAATAAGACGATATGTCATGCACAACACCTGCATCCCTACCTCCAAGGTCAAGGTCACACTTGGTCAAAGCTTAAAATGATAGATTTTTAAATTCTTGTTACTTTTTGTACTGGATATTTGGCTGAATTATAGCTGGTTGGAAAGCGGAAATATTTTCACCTGCGTGTTTGGTTTTAAGGCTATCTAAAATATACCTGTCAATAACTCAGTTATGTGCAGTGCACCTTGACTACGTGACAAAATGTCTAAAATTTGCCAGAACGATAAAGCCTACATCTGGTATGTTGTCTTTTTCCTAGACTGAGGCTGCAGCATCTGAACAACGGCCATACTGCAGTAGCATCAAAAATAAAACAAGTCAGCTATACTCGAAGCATGTGCATTTAAATCATCATTGTTAAATGTTATTAGATTTTCAAGTTTTTTCAAGGAAATCAGATTTCTGTGTTGACATCATCTGTGAACAAACTCAAAGGAACGGGGGCATTTCCAAAGGATAGAACCCTGTCAAAATTAAAAAGGCACTTTCTTAAATGAATTTATTGCGACAAGTCTTAAATACATCTCTTCACCATCAATAGGGACAGTGTTCAATCTAAACCTGCCTTTGGACTTTACTGACCTCCTTTAAAGGACTTAAAATTTTGGCATAGGATCAAAGAATCTCTTTGTGGGAGGTTTACAATTATCTACAACAAACCACACTTTGGGTGTGGAGCTCAAAAAGCGTTAAAATAAAAAAAATATAATTGTCAATCCTAGCACATTGTCATATACTTGTCATATGTATCTATAAATCTAAAGCTGTTTTGAACAAAATTCATATTTAAACGTCTATAATTATAGACGTTGAAATATGATATTTTTTCAAAATTGCTTTAATTACGTTTTATTGATACATATGGCAAGAATATGCGCTAGGATTGACAACTTTACAATTTGTTTCAATTTTAACGCATTTTGAGCTCAACACCCAAAGTTTCTGTGCAACAAAACTGTCTCACACAAAAACTAACAATATTTTGTTGGCCTGTTTTTAGACAATTTAGTAGGTTCCTTTCAACATCTAATGGAAGTTCAACACCATTTGCAATGTTTAAAAGTTGAGAAGGTGGATAAAGATAAAGAAAATGGATCGATAAAGGTGTCACTTTCGAATACACTCAACATCTTTTTGACTGTGTATGGAAAGGTGTATCTGTGTGATGTTTGTTTGAGCAAGAATTATTGTCAGACGTGTAAGCCATGGCATACTTAGCAATTAATGGCCTTGCAAGAAACCAGTGAGAGAGAGCACAGTCATTATGGGTTAGACCTATAATGCCTCCAGAGGATTCCAGTGCTTTATTTTCCTGACTTCAAGGATATAGTCCAACTATACAGAATACAAACACCCAGTACTTAGTTTAACAACAAACTTGCCTTCTTAACTCAACTGTAAATCTGTAATTCTCTTACAGAAAATAGGCCTGAATCTTAAATATATTGTTCTAACGGAAGAAAACAAGAAAGGGAAAAGTAGTGATGTTGCATACTGATTTGCTTGCCATAACCCATGCATGTTAAATTGGAAAGGAAACCCGTGACAAGTAATCTAAGACAGTGATTAAACTACATTTTACATAAACAATTTATTCAGAACTTGACAAAAATGTTGTTTCCCAAATTTGCTAATAATAATTACTTGGTTACCCGTAATGAAATGATAGGTTCTTTTTAACATATAAAAGACTATATCAAACGTTTAGTGTACCCGTGATTAGCCTATGCTCCATTTTATTTGGGGGGGGGGGCACGGGTACACATGCAATAAAACTGCTAAAATATAGAAAAGAGGTCAAGATAGAAAAGAGTTGATAAATTTAACATTTCTTTTCATGAATTATGCATTCTAAAAGGATCCAAAAGAATTCATATCTTTGAAAATTAAATAAACTTTTCTTTATTTAACTGGAATAAAATATTTGCCATGTACCAACGTGCGTTTTTTTTATATTCTATCATGTTCTACGAAAGAAAAACAACGTTAAAAGTCGATTATAGCAATAAATATCAAAGGTGAGCTTCAATTTATATCCAAAAATCTTCAATTGGTAGGATTACATGAAATTCCTGCAGAAAATTTATTGTTAACACACTGCTTGCGAAACTTCTTTTTTATCAACAAATTTTATAAGAAAGTAAAATCATGCATGAAAATTTGTTTTAAATGATATTTTTATCTTTGTACAGTCCTTACAGTGACTTGAATATGTGATAAATATTAAAAATATATCCGATTATATGCAAAAATTTAGCCATGTAAAGTAAGGAGGTGAATTTCAGTATCAAAAGCGGTCATCTTCGTGGCCATCTTGGATTTGTCTGAATGCCATTATTAATGCAATTTATGCCGGTGGTTTCATAAAACTACAAACTTTAACGAACATTTTGGTATATAACATTGCTTGCTGCAATGACTGTCCCACCTACCCTATTTTTTATCAGACTTTTCAGGTCAGAGTCACTCTACCATAAACATTTGTTTTTGTTAATATTGATAATTTCACAAATAACGTTTTCTATTAATATGGGTGTCGTAGTTAAGAAGTGTTGTTACCACGTGTGCTGGAATTATTGAACTAAAACTTCCAATGCATAATGCACATCTACAATGACTTTGAAACTAATCATCTCGTCCGTAACCGTGAATTTTATACCTAACAAATGGTTTTAGACATTACTCAATTATAAAACTTGAACATTTTTATGAGTACAGAACGGATATAAAATGACACGAAACCAAACTAAACAATCTGTAAAGATTGCTTTTTACAACTTCGAGAAATATTTTTTTATAATTCCTTGGTCGTGTTATTCAACAAATATAAGTATGAATACACCTTTCTCATAGTAAAATAAGGTTTTCGTGTAATGCAATGTGAATTGACTGTCATAATAGCCATTTTATTTATGAAAAGAAACACAAATGTCCGCCATTTTGTATTATTTATTGTTTTGACGTGACGTCACAATTGTGGCGTTCTATCCGGTTCGCGCGTTGTGTATTTATATGAAATGAAATTGGAAATAAAAAAAGGAGAAAAAAAATTGATTTCGAAAGAAGCTTTACATATATTGTCAGAAAGCTTAATTTTCAGCAAGTGTCCTTGTTGGTGAGCAGGTCCAGTGAGGGAACCGAATAAAGCAGCAAGTCTAGAAAACGGTCGGCTTTCTAGTGAAGAGTTGAGCCTTAGCAACGGTCCGCTTCCCAGTAAAGAAGCAAGTCTAAGAACGGTCCGCTTCCCAGTAAAGAAGCAAGTCTAAGAACGGTCCGCTTCCCAGAAAAGAAGCAAGTCCAAGGAGCGCAGCAAGTCTAAGAAGCGCAGCAAGTCCAAGGAGCGCAGCAAGTCTAAGAAGCGCAGCAAGTCCAAAGAAGCGCAGCAAGTCCAAGAAGCGCAGCAAGTCTAAGAAGCGCAGCAAGTCCAAGAAGCGCAGCAAGTCCAAGAAGCGCAGCAAGACTAATAGTGAAGCAAGTCCAAGAAGTGCAGCAAGTCTAATAGTGCAGCAAGTCCAATACTGCAGCAAGTCCAATAGTGCAGCAAGTCCAATACTGCAGCAAGTCTAAGAAGCGTAGCTAGTCCAATAGTGCAGCAAGTCCAATAGTGCAGCAAGTCCAATAGTGCAGCAAGTCCAATAGTGCAGCAAGTCCAGTAGTGCAGCAAGTCCAAGAAGCGCAGCAAGTCCAAGAAGCGCAGCGAGTCCAATACTGCAGCAAGTCCAATACTGCAGCAAGTCCAGGAGTACAGCGATTCTTAACTTATAATCACAAATACCGCTCAGAATATCGATAAAAATCTCATAAGTGAAACCAAAACTTGACAATTGGGGGCTCGTCCGGGATCACTTAAAAGAGATTTTGATAAAATGAGCAATATGTATTACGACGAATGGTTAAGAATAGGAGAAAAGCTAGGGTTATCCGGCAGCGATTTATTATTGTTTCTTCAAGAGAAGGAAGAAGAATGCCTAGCCAGAGAGGAAAGGGCCCGAAGGCGTGAAGAAGAAAGAAGACAGATGGAAATAAACTTTGAGCTCCAGATGAAGGAAAAAGATCTCGAGATTGAGCGGATCAAATCCTGCAAAGTAACCACCAGTGAGGGAAGCAAGTCCCTCAGACCAAGAATACCTAAGTTCGATGAAGCAAATGATAATATAGATTCATTTCTTGAGAGATTTGAAAGATTTGCAATCAGGCAAGACTGGGAGAGAGACACTTGGGCCATGAGCTTAAGCTCATTACTTTCAGGGCAAGGTCTGGAAGTATTTACAAGTTTGCCGATTGAAGAAGCCAACAAGTATGACACCTTGAAGAGGGCTATCTTAAAACGATACCAGTTGACTGAAGAGGGTTTCAGGGTGAAGTTCAGGCAGAGCAGACCACTACCTGGTGAGTCTGTCTTTCAGTTCATTGAGAGGTTGAGACGATATTTCACAAGGTGGACAGATATGGCTGGAGTAGAGCAGACCTTTCATGGAATAAGCGAGCTCTTAATCAAGGAACAGTTCATCGAGGGGTGTTCCACAGATTTGGCCGTCTTCCTGAAAGAAAGAGTGCCGACATCAATAGAAGAGTTAACACGCCTTGCAGAGCAGTACATAGAAGCGCATAAAGGGGCGTCTTCTGTTTTTGGCAGAGGTACTCCAGTTCCAAAACAAGGGCAGATGGGCAAGAGATCCATTCCAGAGACATCAAGCAGAGTGACAGAGAATAGAAATTCGCCAGTGAAGACATGCTTTATTTGTAATAAGGCGGGCCATTTAGCCAGAGACTGCCGACAGAATAACAGAAGCCAAGCACCAAAGGTGTGCTTTATTTGCAACAAGACGGGGCATATTGCAAAAGATTGTAGGCAGACAAAATCAGAAGGTGTAAGAAGTGACCGCAAAGTAGCAGCCGTATGTGCCAAAGCAGACCTTAATCCACTAGAGAAGAACACTGAAGATGGAAAATTGAAGTTAGCCAGTGGAGAGACCGTGCCGATCCTCGCGGGAGCTTGTACCATTGATTTATTGGAAGAAGAAAGAAACCTGGAGTTGAAGGAGGGCTTTGTTGGAGCAGATGCAGTTAGAGTGCTGAGAGATACTGGATGTGAGTTAGCGTCGGTAAAGAAGAAGTTTGTGAAAGAAGAACAACTCACGGGTAAAGAAATTGTTATGATAACAATTGATGGAGATGCCAAAGTAGTACCTTTGGCGAAAATATGGGTAGATACGCCATACTATGTTGGGGAGTTAGAGGCAATGGTGCTTAAGTCATTAATATGCGATTTAGTGATTGGTAACGTTGCCGGAGTACTTGATAAGCCTGATCCTGAATGGAAGGAGACAGAAGAACCATCGGCTGTTGCAGCAGTCATGACAAGAGCACAGCATCAGAGAGCAGACCGTCCAACTAGAGCGTTGACTGTTCCAAAACCTTCCTGCGAAGCTGAAGTTGACATAGAGAAATTGAAGGAATCCCAGAAAGGTGACTCTTCATTAAAGAAAGTTTGGGACTTAGCAGAGAAGGCAGAAGAGCTGCAAACCAAAGGTGGGGCCAAGTTTAAATACGTGGTGGAAAACGGTGTGCTTTTTAGAGCCTACTTTCAGAAAAATGGTGATGACTCCAAGCAGATTGTTGTTCCGACAGACTTTAGGAAGAGAGTGATGGAACTTGCCCATGAATCCATTGTTGGTGGACATTTGTCATCTAAGAAGACAGAGGACAGAATCCTGACAAGCTTCCATTGGCCAGGAATAACGGGAGATGTGGGACGTTTTTGCAGATCGTGTGACGTGTGCCAGAAGACCATCCCAAAAGGGCGAGTGAAGAAAGTCCCCCTAGGAGACATGCCGGTGATTGAGGAACCATTTCATCGAGTAGCAATAGACTTGATAGGACCGATTATACCAGTGTCGGAAAAAGGGCAACAGATATATCTTGACGGTGGTGGATTTTGCCACACGTTACCCTGAAGCCGTGCCATTGGCGAAAATAGACACCGAGAGCATTGCTGAAGCACTACTTGAAATATATTCGAGGGTAGGATTTCCTTCAGATGTTGTAAGTGACAGAGGAAGTCAATTAACAGCAGACCTCATGAAAGGGATATGTCGACTTATATCTTTAAAGCACTTCACAACACCTTACAACCCAAAGTGCAACGGCTTGTTTGAGCGGATGAATGGAGTGCTAAAATGTATGCTGCGGAAGATGTGCCAGGAAAGACCCGAGGACTGGGATAGATACTTACCGGCTGTATTATTTGCATATAGAGAGGTACCACAGGCGAGTACAGGATTTTTCCCGTTTGAGTTGCTGTATGGAAGAACAGTTAAAGGGCCCATGCAAATACTAAGGGACATGTGGACTCAAAGAGAAGATCCAGAGATACAGAATACATACCTGTATGTGCTCAATCTGAAGCAGCGCTTAGAGGAGACATGCAAGATAGCCAGAGAAAGTCTGATGAAAGCCAAGAATACCTATAAGCATCACTATGACAAGAGAGCTCGAAACAGAGTTTTGCGTGTTGGAGATAAAGTCTTACTGCTTTTACCCACAGACAATAATAAGATGATGCTTCAATGGAAAGGACCTTTTCAAGTTGTCGAAGTAATTAATAAATTTGATTACAGAATCAAGATTGGAGACAAGCTGAAGACGTTCCACATTAATTTGCTGAAGAAATATGAAGAACGCCAAGATAAGATTGCAGCAAGTGTAGCGATCATAGAAGACGTTGATGATAATTCAGATGGAGCGGTGGACGACGAAAGTCTCCTGGATTATCCTAACTACACAAGTGGGGAGACATACCAAGATGTCAATATCAGTGAGGGACTTACTCCTGAACAGAGGAAGCAAGTCCTTGCCATACTTCAAGAGTTTAGCGAAGTGTTTTCAGGGCGACAAGGAACAACTCTACTTATCAAGCACCATGTTGAATTAACAGACAAGAATCCTGTGAGAGTGAAACAGTACCCCATACCATATGCCAAGAGACAAGCTGTTGAAAATGAAATACAAGATATGATAAAGGCTGATGTGATTGAACCATCTGTGTCGGAATACAACGCACCGATAGTCATTGTCAAGAAGAAAGATGGGAGTAATCGATTTTGTATTGATTTTAGAAGACTGAATGCCGTCACCAAATTTGACACCGAACCAATGGCAAGCGTAGATGATATAATGGCAAAGCTGAAAGATGCTAAGTATTTTACCAAGATCGACTTATGCAAAGGTTATTGGCAAATCCCAGTTGCTGAAAATTGCCGCAGATTTACAGCATTTGCAACGGATAGAGGGAGTTATCAATTCAAGAAAATGCCTTTCGGTATGGTTAACTCTGGAGCCACATTCAACAGGATGATGCGGAAGTTATTGGCAGGGTGTGATTTTGTTGATAACTATGTTGACGATATGATAGGGCATACAACAACCTGGACAGAACATATGACAATGCTGAGGGAGCTCCTCCAAAGATTGGCAGAAGCAGAGCTTACCATAAAGCCATCGAAGTGTTATATAGGATATAACAACATTGGTTTTACAGGACATATGGTTGGAAATGGCATAGTTCAAATGGAAGGGGAAAAACTGACAAGAATCAAAGAAGCAGAAGTGCCAAAGACTAAAAGACAAGTTAGAGCGTTCTTAGGACTTGCCGGATATTACAGGAGATTTATACCATCGTTTGCTGAGATTGCGGCACCTCTTACAGACTTAACGAAGAAAGGCCTACCAAACAATGTACGATGGGGAGATGAGCAAGAAAGAGCTTTTAATACTTTAAAGGAGCAACTAACCAAGAGTCCAATTCTTCGACTGCCTGATTTTTCGAAAGAATTCATTTTACAGTGTGATGCCTCGAATGCTGGGATAGGTTCAGCATTGCTTCAGAGATATGAGGGAGAGTTGTTTCCTATTGCCTTTGCAAGCAAGAAGCTACTTGATCGTGAAAGGAACTATTCTGTAGGAGAAAGAGAGTGTCTAGCAATAGTATATGGAATAAAGAAGTTCCAAAAATACTTGTATGGGAAAGAGTTCATCATACAAACGGACCACAGTTCATTGTCGTACATCCAGAAAAGTACACCAGACAACGGTCGATTAGTGAGGTGGGCCTTATTTCTTCAATCATACCAGTTCCGTATTGAAGCCATCAAAGGATCCGACAATATCTTTGCAGACTACCTAAGCAGACAGTATCAAGAAACAGATGAATAAAAAAGAATGTTATTTTGACATTTGATGGAAATATTTAATATTTCCTTTTGAAGAGGGCTGTTGTCAAAATAGCCATTTTATTTATGAAAAGAAACACAAATGTCCGCCATTTTGTATTATTTATTGTTTTGACGTGACGTCACAATTGTGGCGTTCTATCCGGTTCGCGCGTTGTGTATTTATATGAAATGAAATTGGAAATAAAAAAAAGAAGAAAAAAAAATTGATTTCGAAAGAAGCTTTATATATATTGTCAGAAAGCTTAATTTTCAGCAAGTCTCCTTGTTGGTGAGCAGGTCCAGTGAGGGAACCGAATAAAGCAGCAAGTCTAGAAAACGGTCGGCTTTCTAGTGAAGAGTTGAGCCTTAGCAACGGTCCGCTTCCCAGTAAAGAAGCAAGTCTAAGAACGGTCCGCTTCCCAGTAAAGAAGCAAGTCTAAGAACGGTCCGCTTCCCAGAAAAGAAGCAAGTCCAAGAAGCGCAGCAAGTCCAAGAAGCGCAGCAAGTCCAAGGAGCGCAGCAAGTCTAAGAAGCGCAGCAAGTCAAAGAAGCGCAGCAAGTCTAAGAAGCGCAGCAAGTCTAAGAAGCGCAGCAAGTCCAAGAAGAGCAGCAAGTCCAAGAAGCGAAGCAAGTCCAAGAAGCGCAGCAAGACTAATAGTGAAGCAAGTCCAAGAAGTGCAGCAAGTCTAATAGTGCAGCAAGTCTAATACTGCAGCAAGTCCAATAGTGCAGCAAGTCCAATACTGCAGCAAGTCTAAGAAGCGTAGCTAGTCCAATAGTGCAGCAAGTCCAATAGTGCAGCAAGTCCAATAGTGCAGCAAGTCCAGTAGTGCAGCAAGTCCAAGAAGCGCAGCAAGTCCAAGAAGCGCAGCAAGTCCAATACTTCAGCAAGTCCAATACTGCAGCAAGTCCAGGAGTACAGCGATTCTTAACTTATAATCACGAATACCGCTCAGAATATCGATAAAAATCTCATAAGTGAAACCAAAACTTGACATTGACGGCTCTCTCAGTATTTAGTTCATACTGTTCATTATACTGTATAATTCTGTCACTTTGACAGGTTGTTGGCGTGAACATCTGGAAACACGTAATAAAACATATTACAAGTCTCCTTGCTAATATCTCTTTCAATCGTCTTAACCACTATATGAATATACCGTTTTATAGTATATTAAAGACATTTAATATGAACTTAGATTTATCTGCTTTCTCAAAGAATATTGACAAACAATACAATGTTTTGAGGGGCGATTGAACATTATGTTCCCTATATGTCGCGGCTTTCTTTGTGGTCTCATCTGTAGAAATAATTAACGGCCAAAACAAGTTCTTTTATTCATGGGTTTAAAATCAGTAAACAAGAATATTGCTTAAGTCGATTAGTGATTTTTGAAGCTGCATATGTGTCAATGTATCCAATGCACATTAGTAAATTAAAAAATCTGTTTGTGTAAATATGCCACAAGTGACCTGGACACCAGAATTAATAACTCTACCCAAAGATGACCTTGACCTTAGTATCAGACTGTCCCATTCCTTCAAAAAAGTAAAAGGAACACTCAAAGTATCAACATAATAAATATGAAAGGCACAAGTAAATAAACAAAATCTGTAAGAGGAGAATTGTTATCTATTATAAAAATAAAAATATGTCTTTCTTTTAGTAATGATGGGTCTAAAATTATTGGCGCGTCTTTCGTGTCTCTTTTATCAGCATTAAGATCCTTTTTAAGTTATATTTTCCTTGATTATATCTCTCTCACAAAAAACAACACGAACACTTCACAAAGGATGAAACCAAAGTATGATATCGTCCAACACGTATTCGCTTTTGTGCATATTTTCTGTCATTTAGTCATTTTTATTAGTCCCCTACCGGTTTAACCGGAGGGGAATTTAAGTTTACCCTCCGTCCGTCTGTCCATCTGTCTGTCTGTCTATCTGTTTTTCTGTCTGTCTGTCTGTCAGTCCGTCCGTCCACAAAACTGGATCCCGCGATAACACAAAAAGTACAAAAAATATTTTTTTATGAAACTTGATATATGGATGAATTGCAGTTTGGAGATAATGCACGTCTTTTTCTTTTCTTCCTATGTTGAAAGTTCTGGTTGCTATGGAAACAAATAGACTGAAAATATGGCAAATTTTACACATAAACTGAATCCAGTGATATCTCAAAAAGTACTGAAAATATTTTTATGAAACTTGAAATATGGGCAGATGACAGTCTAGAAATTATGCACATCTTTTTCTTTTCTTCCTTTGTTGAAAATTCTGGTTGCTATTGCAACAAATAGACTGAATTTCAAGATTTCTGATTTGAATTTTTACGCTTTTTTACGCTTTTTCACTATAAGTTCTTTATTTCTTAAGGTGTTTACTTCAAACTTTAAATATAAGTTTCTGGTCATCAACCACATCATATGTGACAAGGTTTTCAATTCTAGCACAAAAATTATCAGAATTACCTCCCTTGAAATGTTGTCTTTTTTTAAATAACTTCTTTATTTCTTAATGCATCTACTTCAAACTTCATATATATTTTTCTTATTATCACTCAACATTTGTGAGAAGGTTAAATACTGTAGCAAGACTATTTCTAGAATTATATCCCCCTTGAACTTAGATTTTTTTCGAGAAATTGCTATATTTTTTCTTCTTCATTCCTTATAGTATTTACTTTAAAATCCCACATAATTATAATATGATAAGGTTTATAAATCTATATTTCCAGAATTATCTCGATCCATATTTCCAGAATTATCTCCTCCTTAAACTTTGAATTTTTCTTATTCATTCTTTAACTTTCTTATTTCTTCATGGATTTTCTTCAAATTCAAAATCAGCATTCGTTATCAACACCTACATTATATTTTTGTTTTAAATTTTCATCTTTGTTACTTACTATACATTTTTGTTAATGTTATATTTGAAAATTGTTATTTTTTTTACTTATCTTCTTTGTGACTATAAATGGAATCTTTAAACTTAAAGTAAAACTCACATCAATGTTCATAAATCTAGCATCGTTATTTCAAGAGTTATCAGCTCTTTAAGAATTTTGTATTGAAATATGTTATATTTTGGTAACAGGGATGTTTAAAAAAATAACTTTAGAGTCGCCTTCAGTCAGTCTGTCTGTCTGTCTGTCTGTCTGTCTGTTCATAAAACCTGTTTCCTGAGATCATTTTTAAAGATTTTTTCTAACAAATTTACTTAAAATAGAGAAAAGTTGAAACATTAGTTATACTTATATATCCTGAGAAAATTGGACCTTTTGATTATATGTTGTATAAACATAATTTCCTTACTAGGCAGGAAAACTTAACACATTACTATGATATAGACAAACTTAGAACTCAAAAGATTTAAGTTCATTTATGTCATTCATTCCATGGTAAAATTGAATGGCCAATGGCCCTTCAGAATGTTGCTGGGGTTCTAACCGGTAGGGGACTTATGGATTGCTTGCAATACTATGATAATTGCTTGTTGTCATTACTTCGCCCTTGAAGTGCATAATTGTACTTATGATTTACTGTTTCCCATATCATCCAAATTTGTTATTAGACGTTAATTAAAATATCAATAAATTGCAGCATGATATATATTGTAAAATTTGTAATACTATTAATGACATTGACTATAAATAATGTAAGTTATTCGGTGTGTTGTAATCAAAGTTATTAAACGTTGTATTGTGTATTTGTAAAATACTATCTGTGATTTTGTATATCAAGTTCTGTTTTATTTTGAAGAATTATGAATACTCACGAAAACGTTTCTAACCTTTTAACGATGACCTTGGCTTCACATAATGGGGAGTTTTGAAACATCTAACGAAGGTTTATTTACAAATGTGATCATGCAATTATCAAACTTGTAAATTAATATCAAAGTTTTGAATGCGAACACAGAAGAGATTTGATCAGCATTCACTTCTGAAGTTCAATATAAAATTTGGTATTATATTGCGTAATTCATCAAACAATTTTAAATGGACCTATACTTTCTTATACCCTTTGCTCTAATGGCACTGGTTATTTGTGGAAAAGGTATATTATTTATTTATTTATTTATTTATTAACAATATAAATGCTTTTTAAAAAAAACAGTTATTAATTTTCAATTACTATTTTTTAAAATGGAAAAGCATGTGCTGATATTCTTTTATTATTATATTTAAAAACTATGAAGATTGATACATAATTTTGCAAATTGAATTTATAAGAAATACTCAGAACTATTTTATTTCAAGAATCTCTAGAAGATGAGCCGCAGTGTCTCTCAAGGTTTGACTACGAGTTCAAAGTTGTCAAGAAATTGGCAGAACTTGAGAGTGAGCTAGCAGAACAAAAGAAATCCGTGCATAAACTTGCAAAGGGTGGTGACGGTATGTTTAACAGTGACTTACATTAATTTGCTTTCATTGTATACATGTGCAATTAATTATTTTTATATCGAATGATTATCAATTTTTAATGAGTTTTGTCAAAGCAGTTCAAATTAGTCTCAATACAAGTAAAATATTATATTTATCTAAATATGTGATAAGCTAGTAAATAATTCAAAACTTTTAAACGATCGTACCTTTTTATATACACAGATGTTTCAAAACACATATATTTAGTAAACTGTTTGTTTAAAATCAAACATTAATTTTAATCATTTAAGGACGATGCAGTGTTGAGAATAAGGTTGCGTTTTCTGCTTACCTAACGAACGATATGGCATCAGTTACAAATTACCGTATCATTATTTTTGATGAGGTCCAAACAAATATTGGAAATTCTTACAATGGGAAGTCTGGTATATTTACATGTCGATCACCTGGAGTATACGTCTTTTATTGGGTCGTTACTAATAAAGATGGTACTTATATGGACTCTGAACTTGTGGTAAATGGCGAAGAACGCAGTCAAGCTTTTTCGGATGCTGGCAATCATAATGATTATGCTGTAGCTTCCAATGTTGTTGTTACGGATCTGAAATCTGGTGATCAGGTTTGGATACGTTGTGGAACTTGGCATAATGGCAAGCTTGGAGGACAACGCAGGACATCTTTCTCTGGATGGAAGCTATATAATTGATAAATAATTCGAGCCGTACTAGATTTCGTATGTTTGCTATTCATTAAATGTTTTATGTTTGGACATGTTCATCTTGGACAAGTAAAATCAATACTGATATAAACATTTTAAATGCTTCATTTTGTGTCATATTTTATAGTGTATGTCTACTTAAAAGAATCATTATCCGATTGTTTAGTATACTCCAGCTTTTTTATGCAAAGTTTGAGCAATTATATCATAAAATAAGTGTACCTACTTATGATATATGGTATAAATTATGTACTTTATCTTTCTATTTGGGCGACCTTTTGAGTTTCAAATATGCTATTAAATAATTTTGAAAGGGGTCAGAGGTTATGAATCCTGCACATCACAGATAAGACGTCAAAAGGCTTGACAAAATATCCCTGTCCGTGGAAGTAAAACAAACTTTTGTCAGAAAGAAATGTTTGAAGTTTTTTTAAACATTTAGACTGGAAATAATAGACTCAATTTTTAATCTAGTTTGTATTTTCTAAATATTGGCCGTTTGTATATGTATGTACATGGATATGCTTGAAAATACAATGAGTAATTGTTTAATTAGAATGAATTTTATGTTATATACAAATCATATGAGTGTTCGTAGTTGGTAATAAGAATGTTTTAAAAAATATGTTTTGTAAAATAACAACTATTTTAAAAAGAGAGGAAAAGAAGAAATAAGATAGCAGAGAAAAGAAGATATTTCAAGACGGCACTAACAGTATGGCATTGATTAAAGAATGATATCTTAAGTAAATATCTTGCTTTTGCTGATATATTCTTGAACAGTAAGAAAAATATTACAGTTAGTATTATCACTCATGTTACAGTCGCCATATAGTAGTCTGTGCAGCGTTATAGTACAGTAGCTTGATAAGATTTTCATGAAACTTTCTCTTATTCCATTATAAAGTGGGCAAATGTGTAGTTTCAGACAGCTACATATAGTTCTGACTGAGAAATGTTTTTTTCTGAAAAGATGGTGATTAAGTGAACTACATCATTTGGGAGTTAAAGGGACAAGGATGGGGTGAATGGAAAATTAGGGAGTGGGTTTATTTAATGGGAAATGAGAGGAAATAGAAATTAATTACTTACCGCTGAAAACAGAGAAAAACAGAATCATCAAAGAAAGTTCAACACGGCAAAATTGACACTGTTGTAGACTCGATTTGACAAATTTTGACCCTAAAGTGCGTTACACAGGTACATGTGTATTTTGAACATCAGACAAACGACGTGCTTTGGGGGTCATAAAAATTCAATCAATAAAGATAATTTTCATGATGTTTTAAAGTAATATCTTAGAGTAAAAGCCAATGGTAAACAAAAAACAAGGTATTAAATAGACGCAAACATGTGCCCTGAATTATAGTAGAATCAATAGGGATTTGAAATGATCTTGATATGTTAGTGAAGAACTTTCAATAAATAAAGAATTTGTATGAATAAATAACCTCGAAATATATTTTTTCTCGCATTTTCCTATTACATTTTATTTGTAAAGAATGTAAACCTTCCATTAACTCTATTGCTTTTAGCTAATTGCATTACTTTCCCGCTTTTTTATTCACACATTTTATAAAAACATGATAGTCTTAGCATAGACAAAGGTATAAATTCTGAGCAATCTTAATAAGACATTTCGCCTGAATACGCTCGTACATGTTGAAAGGACCATTTCTTTATAGCTTATTTAAATGTGACATGTAAAAAAACTTGACTAGGTCAGTAGTCAGTACATGCAGTACTAAAAGAAATCATTAACTATTTAAGTTGTAACACCCCACCCCACCGAAAAATCAAGGCGAACACCCTCTGTAATAAGTTTTCCCTAAAAAGCATCTGGTGGACGGCTGTTATGGAGCTTACAAAAAAACCTAGTTGTTTGTTTGTATTTTTATCTCGAGAAACTTGATATTTCACCCGAACAGTGCAAAAGAGTATATTTATAGTTCTTTAGAAAGTATTTTAACGCACTTTGGGGTCAATTTCTCGATTTTGACCCCAAAGTGCATTGGACCCCAAAGAGCGGTGTAACAAAGCCCCAATAAACTAATCTTAGTAACTACGTTTTATTCTGCGATAACGGAATTAGATCAGAAATATATGCTGGTGTTTATTTGTCAATTCAGTTTTTAAGCAGAACTCAGTTGACACCTTCAGAACTCTGGAACCCAAAGTGCGTTAATATGTAGTATAATAACGCACTTTGGGCTCAATTTCTCGATTTTTGACCCCAAAGTGCATTGGACCCCAAAGTGCGGTGTTACAAAGCCCCAATATATCAATCTTTGTAAGTACGTTTTATTCTGCGATGACAAAATTAGATCAGAAATTTATGCTGGAATTTATTCATCGCTTCATAACCATTTCAGATTTTGAAACATTTCAAGAGAATTGGTTTTCACGGGTTTATTTAAAAAGATTCTGGCGGTCTTTTTTGTAATTTTGTTATTCTATATACGTCTGATTTGTAACTTAAGATTTAGGACCATATAATACACCCATGATCAAAAGTAGGGACGTTGTAATAGAAAAAGCATCGAAACACGAGGCTAACTAATTTGAACGAGGGGTGTAGACCCCGAGTATAAATCAAATTGCCAAGTGTTTTGATGCTCTTTCTCTTTTGTATCATATTCAAACATAGTTACGTTTCCTGTTGTCACAATTCGAAACCCCGGAAAAAGAGTAACCAATTAATGAGCATCTGAATATGATATTTCTGTCGCTTTCCCCTTCTCTGCCGTCACAATAAGTAAACCCCGGAAAAAATGAGCCAATCAATGCGCATTCTGTGGGGTGTGAGTAACTGATACCTGCACTCCAGTTAACACACTGTGCATGTATATGCGTATATAATTTAACTCTGACACATTTTCAACAGAAACGTCCCCAAACTATGATACAATCTCTTTTGTATCATAGTCAAACATAAAAAAACACATTCCCTGTTGCACAATATGAAACCCCATCAAAAGTAACCAATGAACGAGCATCTTAATATGATATTTCTATCACTTTCCCTTTCTCTGCTGTCACAATAAAAACCTCAGCAAAAATTAGCCAATCAATGCGCATGATCTGGAGTGCGGGTAACTAATAACTGCTCTCCGGTTAAGGCACTGTGCATGTATATACGATTTAACTCGGACACATTTTCAACAGAAACGTCCCAAAACTATGATACAAAGAAGCGTTATAAAATAATTGTTTCATTTCAGGTGTTTGAAATATCTGATTTTATTTTCAAAATATCGACTTATTAAAAAATAATTTTTGCTTAAACCAATTCACAATTTTTATAGTATTTGCACGGTGTAATACATAGTTATATTTCACTAATGAAACCTGGTGTTTGACGAGTAGCCTTGTAGAATACAGATAGCATTTAACTCAGTACCACGACTAATTCATAATTACATATTGTTTTCCAAAACCACATTCCGGGATTTATTTCTAGCTACCTTTATCGCATCCGTACTGTATAATGTTTATTTTTATACATTATAACGAAGCGGAAACAAATCATTTTTGTTATGCATTTAGCAGAAGGTAAGCCGAATCATTTATAATTAGATCTGTATGTTCTATAATTGCTCGAAAGCATTGGACAATACACTCCAGTTCTCTATAGAAACATAGGTGTATTTGCCAGGTGAGACTCTTTAACATTGGATTATTGTTCACATGCCTTCGGAATAAGTGCAGTACATATTTTCACAAGAAGATTAAGTATATAAAAAAAATCATTTCAAACTACCATTTTTATTTCGTGCAAAAAAACTAAGACGGGAGAGCTTTTATCTGATGCCTATGCAAATGCAAATTGTATGAGAAATGTTTTAAACATAATAGTTTAAGCAGTGAAGGAATACGTTCATGGAACATCACGAATGTTTTCTTTTTCAGGGTTTGTTTTTTCGGGTAAAATCTGTCTCATCATTTTCCCAGATGTTTCACGTGAAATGACGTAGATATGAGCTCTTCGTTCTAGGATATATTTATTATTGCCGTGTATATGTATATAGCTATGCTCTAAGTGTAATTGTTCTCTTCTTTTTTTTGAAAGAGTCAGGAGTAGGGCCGTGTCAAAAACTGGATATATGTAATTAACAAATTGTGTCAAACGATTCATTTGGAACTATTTTCAAAATGGCGGAAGGAAAGGTTGCCTCCTGTTCAAGATATATATTGATTATTCTTAATTTGATATTTCTGGTAAGTTTGAAAACATTCATTAAAAACACCCATTTAATTTCCTAATTTTGTTCCTTGTTTTTCTTTTTTGTTTTTTTTTTTTTTTTTTTTTCAAAAGTAAATAATTTAATCATATCCGCTTTATAGAATTTTCAAAAACAGAGAAAATATGTTGACTTTATTTATTCCGTATGTTTAAGATATGTATTAATTATCATAAAAAATACACAATAATCATTTTACTTGAACAAGTTTTAGATGCTTCCATCACTTTATAGTTTAAGCTTAAGTTTGCCATATTCCAAACAATACGTAAAATTTCCTGTTTTATTGTCCGAAAAATGCTTTAAACCTCGTTTGTCTTAAGCTTGTTGTTTATACTAAGTAATGAAAATTTGGATTCAGTCCTCTTTAATTTGCACTGCTTAGCACTATGAAATCAAGACGGTCAGAATTCTTACAAAGACAAGTTTTCTAATCGTGTTATATTAACTTCAACAGTGCTTTGTTAAGTTTTAGAAATGATAATGATTGAAACTACAGCTTTCGTGGTATATTTTTTATATTTTTATTCAGTTTAAAGGCAATCGATATATTAATAAAAACACTACTTGAACCTCAAAACAATGCATGGCCAGCACCATGTTATGTTTCTGTTACATATTAAAACGCACTATAAAGTTAATTTAACAAGTATGTAAATTAAGGAGCAAAAAGACACTTTCTTACTTCAAATAATTTGCATCTCACCAGTATGGTTTCGAATCCCGCCATATGGGCTTCGGATTCTTTTATGTAAGAAGTAACTTTTATGTAAGAAGTATCCAAATAACTTACGGGACACCGATGGTTCTACTCAAATACTCGCTCGCACCTTAGATAATGCATGGAGGGGCAAATGAGGTCCTCATCCACAAGTAAAACTGGAAAATCGCATTATGGTATTTACAGGATCTGTGTGACAGAATATCTTGTCAAGTTCCTAACTACATTTACTGCTATTTACCCGCTAGTAACGGATTACAGAAATGATATTCAACCCAGCTTTATATATAACATGTAAAAGGTTATATACAGTTTTATCACATACCCATGCCGACTTTGCGACTCCGTAAAAAAGGTATTGCACGGCCGTGCATATATTTTGACGTAAGGTCATTAGCGTTATACAAACATAGTGCAAAGACGCGCTAAATGTTAGCGTTATACTATAGGTGCGTCAATGAAAAATGAATTATTTCACTTTAAACAGTCTTTAATTTGGGTATGTGATAAATAGAATATTAAACTCGTGTAAGTTCATTACTGAACTTATTGCACTCGTTGAATAAAATAATATTATTCAACTCGTGCAATAAATTCAGTATTGAACTTACACTCATTCAATATCCTCTATTTATTACATACCCGTGCAGCTTTAACGACTCCGTAAAAAATGGTATTGCACGGCCGTTCATATATTTTGACGTGACGTCATTTTCGTTATATCAACATAGCGTTAAGAAGCGTTAATTAATTAAATGAAAGCGTTATACTATACTGTAGACGCGTCAATGAAAAAATGGGTATTTTTCACTTCCAGCGGTCTTTAGTTTTGGTATGTGATAAATAGAATATTAAATTCGTGTTTTATATTATATTTATTGAACTCGTTGAATAAAATAATATTACGCTCGCCAGAGGCTCGCATAATATAAATTTATTCAACTCCTTCAATATATTCAGTATTAAACTTACACTCATTCAATATCTTCTATATGTATTACATGCAAAGCGTTATATACATTATGAATATTTGTATATTTCTTTCAAAAAATTTTCGATTTTTTTTTAAAGTTTTGTTCTCACATCTGGAAGGTTGCAGCATTAGTTGATCTCGTCTGTGAGGCTTTAATCTGCTCCTTTATACTTCAACAATACATTCAAGTTTATATGATACATTTTACCTGAGGTTATATGTACCAACTCGTTATACTAGGAGTAAAGACTGGTGAATGTATTAACCTGTATTCATAAATCATCTGAACCAACCAGTCTAAAACTACTTACAAGCTGAACTATTCCTACATACATGTATATGTGTATTTCTTAGACCCACATTTCGGATAGATAATCTGTTTACTATAATGTAACTAGAATTTCATTTCTCTACTCATAACTAATTATTCATAACATTTTTAAATTTGAATTTAGAAAAACATGAAAGGTTTTTTAATGATGAACATAAGTCATGAACATACTTGGTAAATATTCTGTAAAATTTGTTAATCAAGAATTAAAGTCAAATAACTTGAATCTCATGATTTATTAATTTTTTATTAAATATTTGTTGGATATTAACTCTAAAGTTTTAGTCGTGCAAGAAAGAAAACTAAAACTATACTCGTTACTGTAATATTGTATTTATAGAGTAAGTGTTGCACAATATAGTACAAATTAAACACAATCACGTTCAAGTTACCACAATATTAAATGATATAATCAGTTCAATAAAAATAAGCTTCCAATGTTTTGTCTTCTTCAGAAAATGACTTTTATAAAATAACAAATGACGCAACATCCGTTTAACTATACGCTAAACGGAACTTGACGTTAATGCGGAAATAAAAACTTTGTCAAATGAAAACATAATCTTTCAAATAAAACATTGCTGCATGAATACAGCGATGTACAATTATACAATATACATAGAATATGGATCTACATATGTGATACGAAAATTCTCATAATCAATAAAAAAAAATACACAACAAATACTAATTCTACACATATAACAAAGATAACCTGAACATTACCACTGTATAGAACATGCTACCCTGATATCTTAAATGTTACTACAATATAGTGTAAACGTTACCAAATTAAAATAATCAGCACTGTAACTTCCTTCACGAAAAACGTATATGTGTAATGTACATATACTCAGATTAGAAATTCATGATTATATATGAAATATATATGTATTCAGCACAAAAAGACTAATATATTCAAAGTTCTGTGTCAAAAATATACTACAAAAATGCCGCTTAATTGATTTTCAGCCTACAGTAGACAGTACTTTGCATTATTATTTTAAAGACAATTTTAAAATGTTTCAAAAACAGTGTGGCATTTAGCATGTGAATTTCGTGCAAATGTTTCCCAATGATGCAAGTATGCAGAAGAAAAAAAAACGAAGCTTACGTAATGCATTGGTAGATATCAATTTATATCAAGAAGAAAATCTGTAAAATGTTATGCCTAAACACCTAGCTGTGTCGTAACTTTTTATGCTGCTATCTAGTATTTAACGCAAGTTGATTTCATCAGAATTAACTCCTGAATTTATTGAGCATAATGGGAGAATTTGGCAGCTTGCCAAACACTGTAAATGTCACCATATGATTTGCGGACGCGCGAGGATGTACTTCAGATTCCAGGCAATCGTTACATTTACTCTCACAATACATTTATTTATATCCTTGCTTTTCTCCCCAGATTTAGAGCTAAGTTGTTAACTGAATCAGTTCCTCTTTTGTATTAAGATTTTTATGACTGTTGTTCTGTATTTTGATTTCTAATATGTTCGTGTCCGTATTACTCTAATAATTTCTGTCATGTGTTGCAGTTCGGAACGGAATATTTGTCCCGAGAACACTGCCGAGTTGCCACACTTGGGCGGGTACCTGATGGTTGAATATTCCTAACTAAATCACAAATACATTTAAGATTTATTTTTGCATACGCTTCTATATTTTAAATGGTTTACCAATAGAGGCTGATTTGGAACACTTGAAATGACATTGATTTCCATAAAAAAATATTGAGGTTAATAAGGCTGATATGTTCACTTTGCGCGTCTAGTTGTTAATAGCGACACCACAACCTATATTGTAATCGCCTTTTCGTCTTATCGTTCTGTCGCTTGCGAAACGCGCCAAACGACGCGTTGTCGGACTTTCGCCTTGTCGTCCTATCGCTAACGATGCACACCAAACGGCGCGTTGTCGTCACGATGTCACATTGTGGCTTGAATCAAATCGAAGGATTGGCTATTTGTACAACTATAAGGCAAGCGACAGGGCGACAACGCGCCGCACGACAATGTGGCGTTTTGGCGTGCTTCGCTATTATACGGATACATGTATAACAAATTCATTTCGCATTTTAAAGTCATTCGTATCGATTTATAAGTTTAAAAAATTATATATTTGAGTTTTATAAAAAGTGTTAAAAAAATAACCAGAAGTAGGAGCCTGATCTATAATGGGGAAAAAAACACAACAAAAACAAGTTTCTTATTTTCATTGACTTTGTTTTATTTCATTGCTTCGTGCACACGAGTAGATCCATCCAATTAAAATTCTGTAATGTTTTACTATGCCATTATGTTTATTACAGAATTGCTCTATAGTAAAGCAGGTTATGAAATTATGTCTGTGTTCCCGTAGCAATGAATGAGTCATGAAAATGTCTTATCTGCGGTAGACAAAAATGCACGGTAATTCCGTGCTCATAAGAACCACCCTATAAAAATTTAAGGCAGCATATCACACAATCAAATTGTTTAAGATTTTTTTTATCTTTTTTATATAAATATTTAAATGCAGATTTTCTTTTTAAATAACATATTATTAAGATAGCAAAAACATTTCGAATGTTTTATTATGTCTTATTAAGTATTAACGCGATTTAAATCTTTAATTTTTGTGTTTTATATGTTCAACCAAAATTGTATTTTCTCTTTTATTGATGAACTTTTTCAACTGTCACCACACTTGCGTATTTTATTAGTACTAAGTCGTTTAACTAAGGACTTCTGTTTGATGAGGAGGTATCATTTTCTTAAGAAATATGGGAAAACATTGATCTTTGATAATTATTCGTGTATAACAATATCAATTCGTTCACGAACAATTCCTATATTAATTTCATTATTTCATGGTGCGCATTTTGTGTAACCAAGCGCTCTACGATGTGCAGTCTGGCAGCAGCTGTTATAAATGTTCATTATAAACCACTTACACGATACATTAACTATAAATCCTACGGCTTACTGAGAAATAACTTACGCTTTATACTATAATTACCTATCCCCGTGCAAGGTTAACATTTCAAATTAACATTTATATACTTCATAATTAATTATTAATAATCGTTGTACTTAGCAACAACGTGATATTGAAATTTAGTATATAGAACATGTATTAAACAAAACAATGTGTATTATTTTGTCGATCATGAGTGAAAAAAAAAGCGAGAAGTCTTCGTGTATTGTTAGTCGAATTTATATGCTATATTAATGCTATGTATTGGTTAAATTATTAGTTATAAAGATTTTTGACAGGTTATATGGCCCTATATAAACGCCTGTTTGTAAATATAACCACAGCCGCTAGACCATATAACCTGTCAGAAATATTTAAAACAAATTTATAATACAGCGAGCATCATTTTTAGTGGAATAAAGAGAGATTTCTTTATTAATCGACAGCAGCCGTGTATATAAAACTATATAAACGTCAAGATTATCCAATGAAAAGCGACCTTACAAACGTGCAGTATCGTAAAGTTTTATATACACGACTAAAATAGTTCTTTGTTCTCTGAAACCGGAAGTTTGATGTATTACATTTTTTTAAAGATTCTTCACATTTCATATAATCGTAAATAAACGTTAAATTTGTTGGCAATATAACTCCCGCCTTGTGGTTCGGGTTATATATAGAAACAGCCGTTTATATAGGGCAATATAACTTGTCAAAATCTTTATAACGAATAAAGTACAGATAGTCCAATAAATCTTATACCCTTATATCCTACTCTTAGACTATATAAAAATATAAGGGATAAAAAAAACACGACACTTAAAGGGTATAATTCCATCATATCTTATGAAATATTTTTATAAGATTTATCAACCGTAAAAATATATTTGTTCAATTATTATATGGTTGATTCCCGAAAAAGTACTAACATAAAATGTCTCTGTTATTTAACACATGTGAATATTTTACATAAGCAGAATAAAATGTTCCGGAACATGATGTTATTTTTATATTTTTAGTAGTTTATTTTCGATTAGTAATGACTTTGTGCATGCACCACACGCTTTCAAACAATTCATTACCATTTTTATTTTATACATGCCTTTTGGACGTATTCTTTTTTTAAATCCAAACAATAATTTTTGCTAAATGTGTTATTTAACGATTAATCTTTAGTTATTTATATGTGGCGTATTTGTTTTCCCTCTATCTTTAGTTAACATGTGATATATTTGTTTTCCCTTTATTACAGATAACAGGTATTCTTCTTCTAGGAATGGGTATCTGGATTGTAGCTAGCGACAAGGCAATGGACACTGTCAAGGAAAAATTCCACCTGACCGTAAATGTAGGGACACTGTTATCTATAGGTTATGCTATCATTGGTGTGGGTTCATTTATGTTCCTTGTTGGATTCTGTGGATGTTGTGGAGCTATCCGGGAAAGTGCCATCATGATTGGAGTGGTTGGTACATTTTCATATTAAAATAAAGTCATTTATATGTTGATAAAATGAACAAAACATGTGTTTGAAGGTTTTAATTGTATTAAATACAACTTTGTTTTAAGCAACATAAGTACAACTGCATCATACTACGTTTGTCTATGTATTTAAATATGTATATATGAAGTGTAAAGTGTTTATCACATAAACCACGGCGCGGGGTTTAGAAAAACAATTTCATAAAAACTATAATACACTAGTGAAGTTTTTGAACTAAGCAAATAAGCGACTATGCATTTCCTTTACGTATTAATCGCATTGTAGCACAGAAACTACACAACATATCATCACAATAACACATTGTCACATAAACAACACGACATATCATCACAAGAACTTATTGCCACACAAACAACACGACTTTCCATCACAATAACACATTGCCACATAAACAGCACGACATACCATCACAATAACACATTGTCACACAACCAACACGACATGACTTCACAATAACACATTGTCACATAGACAACACGACATACCAACACAATGATACATTGTCACATCAACTATACGACATATAATCACAATTACACACTGTCACAAAATCTACATGACATTTTACCACAATAAGGCACTTCCACGTAAACTACACGACATTTAATCACAATAAGATATTGTCACCGAAACTACACGGTATACCATCATAAAAACGCATTGTCAAATAAACAACACGACATACCATCACAATTATACATTGTCACATAAACTACACGACATATCATCACAATTACACACTGTCACAGAAACTACACGACATATCATCACAATTTTACATTGTCACATAAACTACAAGACATATCATCACAATTACACACTGTTACAGAAACTACACGACATATCATCACAATTATACATTGTCACATAAACTACACGACATATCATCACAATTACACACTGTCACAGAATCTACATGACATATTATCACAATAAGACACTTCCAAATAAACGACACGACATATCATCACAATTACACACTGTCACAGAATCTACATGACATATTATCACAATAAGACACTTCCAGATAAACTACACGACATTTCATCACAATTACATGTTGTCACAGAAACTACAAGGTAATCCATCATGAAAACACACTGCCATCGAAACTACACGAAAACACTCGGTACAGCCTTCTTTATCCATTTAACTCATCTGTAATAAGTTCAACACGAAAACATAAGATACTTTATAACTATTTAATCTAACTTTTGTTGCGACACATGAATCTCAAATGGTACATGTTGTTGAGAAACAATCTCCAGTAAAGTAACAAAATAAATCACTTCTATGTTACATACTGTATCAACTATATCACAACATTTAATTTAATATTGTTTACCATATTGACAATTGAAATTGTATTTAACCATAGTTCACATTATCACATAAACCGCGGCGCAGGAGTGTAATAAATAGAGGATATTTAAATACACGATTTATTTTCATCGAGTGGTATGAAAATAAATATTTCATGAGTGACGGCAGTCACGAGTGAAATATGGTAATTTTCATGCCACAAGATGAAAATAAATCATGTATTTATAGAAAAAACTTGAATTTTCTATTTATTATATACATTTTTCTCTTTTTTGACATTTAAATTTGAAAGACTTTCCCTTAAGTTTTGTGTACTGGCAGAATTTAAAAGAAAGTAGTCCGGCAAGACACCAGTGAAAATACGAAAATACGTTTCACTGCAGTGAAAAATAAATTTTTACAGTGAAAATACGGAAAATGAAAATACGCATTTTATTTCAACAATATTTCTCAATATTTAATTTATAAGTATATAATAAAGCCATTTAATAAAATCGATATTACACTAGTGTATAACACTTTGACGTGACGTCATTTGCGCTATATAGAAACACAGCGTCAAAGCGCGCTAATGTTAGCGTTACACTATAGGCGCGTCGTTGAAAAATTATTTATTTTTACAGTTTATTGTTCTTATTTTATATTATGTGATAAATAGAATATTATATTCTTTTAGATTCAATACTAAATTTATTGAACTCGTTGAATAAAACAATATTATGCTCGCCATAGGCTCGCATAATATGACTTTATTCAACTCGTTCAATAAATTTAGTATTAAACAACACTCATTCAATATCCTCTATTTATGTCATTATGCTGTCAAGAGCGTGAATATTTAAACAGAAATATGAATTGGTCTTTAAAAAATAACATATCGTTTGACGTTAAATATGACGTCAATAAACCGAATTGAAGTGAGGTAAATTAAATTATTTCTGCTTAATTAAGCAACAATTTCCGTTGATTCCTTTTATAAGCATATTGGAATGAAAAGATATTTTTTCTTGTATATAATATTCTATAACTATATTGTTTATTGTATTATTAATCAGGTATATTATAATCGTCTCGTGACGTCTTGTATGTTTTTTATTGCAGTACATCATTTTTATGGTTGTCTTACTCTGTGGAGAACTTGCTGCAACGGTATATACAGCCTTAGAAAAATCTTCTGTAAGTAAAATAATATATATCGTCTGCATTATCTTTCAATTTAAGTTGACATTTTTGTATCAGTTGAGATTATAATTTATGAACATACTTGTACCCAGCTTAGAAAAAAGGACAAGTCGAATGTACTTGCTCTCAATTTAGTAAATAGGAAGATGTTGAATAAACTTAAGCTTTTTTAGCTTAGCTAACAGTGATAGGTTGTGCATTTATATATTTACAATCATGTTGCGCTTAAAGATGCGCACAAACTACGTCTTTGGGCGTGTTATGATATAAATGTTTGAAGCAGAATTTACGGACGGTTTCGTCTCTGTATCAGTGAGTACTACAGAAAGGTCAATTGTGTATATATCTGGATAACAAAAACGTTATAAATTGCAGTAATCTTACCTTTATACTGTTTGTATTAATAACATGATATTACCGTGAATTACGTCAGACAATCTGGCAGAATTGACAGCACCTATTGATAAAAGTTAAATGAAACAGTAGTAGCTTCTTCACACGTGAAAAAGTGGTTGTCTATTATCATATTTATACCAGACATATAAATCGAATACTGCAGATATGGTCGTACTTGTATTTCCCTTTTCATATCATTAAGTTGAAATTGTTTTAAAGAATTTTCAGGGTGGCGAACCTGCGTAACTTCGGAACAGTGTGCACGGCGGAATATTCTTTTAGTCAATTCATTGATTTTTTGTTTTTATAATAATTATTTTACACTGCATGGATTATCAAAGAAAGACGTTCACTTTGTCCCCGAGTCACGTGGTTTGCCAACTACATACTGAAAGTAAAATATTTTGAAAGTAATTTGCGCAGTGTACCTACAGTTTTGAATATCTTTTTCTATATTAAAACGGGAAGTTTTACGAACGTAACTTTTTTTGTTTATGAGAGCTTTCACTTGGAAATAAATTTGTTTACGTAATTCTTTTACAAGTGGAAAATTATGAATTTTAAATTGCCTACAATGTTATTATTTGTAATATCAACCTGCAGGATTCTAATTACAAAGAAGACGTCCTATGCGAAACAGGCATTTCTACTAGAATCTGTAGAAACATTACATGCGTCACTTTCTAAGCGTATTTAATTCTGTAGAAACATTATATTCGTCACTTTCTAAGTGTACTGAAATCTGAAAAGTTATAGTTTAATGGTGGTCTTATGCCGTTAAACCTTGAATCATCCTGGGTAACTTGTTTCTCATTTGTCACCTGCACTGGTTAGATCCAGGAAAGTAACGTGTTTGTTATAAATACAGGTAAAAATTGTGTCACCGTCAAGCATGGATAATACTATAACTTGGCACTATACATTAAAAGGAAGATAACCGGTGTTTTTGCATCAAGTTTCTTAATCAGTTAATGTTATTAAATAAAGGTCATACTATATTTAAAGAAACAAACATGAGTTTGGTAATCAATATAATTTTATCCAGTCTATTCTGGGCAAATTGTATGTTCGTTTCATAAACAGTTTGTAAAGCTAACGAACCATTAATTAAGGGTAAATGAGGAATAAAGATGTAAAAGGTTTCTTATGTTTCCTGCCGCTTTACCTTTTATTTTCTGAAATGACACTTTAATATTTCTTATTTATTGAAGAATAAGTTTTAATCACATACCATGTATGGAATAAAAAGCATGGTTAAATCGATCATTAACATACACTCTAGTGCGTCTATTTAAAATATGCCTGCCTTTCAGTTTAAACATGACATAATTTGCTAGTTAAATAAAATAATACAATTATTTAATGAAATGAAAAAAATATCCTTTTCTTTGACGTGAAGAACATTTTGCTCCAATGATTTTATTTGTTTTTGTTTGTTTGTTTGTTGTTTTTGTATGTGTTTTTTTTTTGTTGTTGTTGTTTGTCAATGTTAAAATGCATAGCGAAATCTTTCAAAGATTCGATAAAAAATAAGATTTATTTATTACTATTGTTCTTTTCTGTTCTGTAATCACGTAGTTAATCATATCAAGTTTAATGTTTTAGCATAATGTATTAAATATTGCACTGCATCGATACAACCTCGATATTTCGTTGGGAAAAAGTAAATACCGAGTTTTGTATTGTAAAACATGTTTAATTAGAATAGTAATTAAAAGTTCATTTTTTTCCATTATACTTTTGGCTAAATGACTACATTTTTATCTTGATAACCAAAGCTGGTGAAGTCCATTTAAGAAATTCAGCAAATAAGGGATTAATATGTTTCGTACAAAAACATAGCATAATTAACATAATTGAAAACGAAACAAATATTGATGAAAACTTCATTCGATCAACTGGTCTAATAATTACGGTTATGGGCGCTAACTGAAGTGAATGCTAATGGATTTTCAGACGACTTAAATTTCGTTCAATAATCATATTTATTACATAATATTTATTGCATATTATTTTACCGCCTCCGTGGTCGAGGGGTTAGAGTCGATGACTTCTAATCCAGTTACCTCTCTGGCGTGGGTTCGATCCCCGGGAGATGCTTTGGTAGTTTAGCACGGAGGAAGGTAGTCTAGTATTGGTGTAACTCTCCAGGAACGATGGTTAGGAAACTACCCGCCTATATGACTGAAATACTGTTGGGAAAAGGCGTAAATGAAACAAACAAACAAACAAAACAAACATAATATTTTCATACATAACCTTAGAAAATGGATCCGTATTGTCGACAATTATTTAGAACAAGTACATAACGTATAATTTTTCCTAGACCTAACTGCATCATTTTCACAAGAAACATACGGTATTCATTAAGATCTGCAAAAACTGTGCTGAAGATTTATTAAGTAGTACTATTTCTTGGCACACAGGCACGCGCTGTCGTAAATATTTGGAAATAAACGTAATGTAAAAAGAAATCCTATTCATTTACATGCATTGTGTTTATAGTAAAATGAAAATTGAGCCGTGTCATGACAAAACCGACATAATGGGTTTGCGACCAGCATGGATCCAACCAGCCTGCGCATCCGCGCAGTCTGATCAGGATCCATGCTGGTCGCTATTAGTTTCTCTACTTGCAATATGGTTGGTAAACGAACAGCATGGATCCTGATTAGACTGCGCGGAAGCACAGGCTGGTCTCGATCCATGCTGGTCGCAAACCCATTATGTTGGTTCAGGATCTAATTATTGTAATTTCGTCCATGTATTTGAATTAGGTTTAGTTTTACAATTTCGTGGTTTCATTTTTGTGGAATGTCAATATTTGCTGACAGAATTTGTAATAAACTGTATACATAAGTAGTTAAGAATATTATAACATCAAGTATATTTACAATGTGCATTGAATTATGGCGCAGGAACTTTTTAAGTTCGAATAACGTTGCAAAATTAAAAATGATGCAACGTTGGTTTGATTGAGCCTGTTTATTGATGACACTGGTATGCAAAAGCTACCAAATTGCCCGCTAACATCGGCTAATATAGCAGAACTCAACATTTAAACAAAGACATTCTCTCTTTTATCCAAATATAAAATCATCTATAATGACTGACCAAAAAGTCTTCAAAGTGGCACTTTCGTACGATTCAATGAAAAGCGGCTTAAGTCCACGTGTAAAAGATTATCGTAAGTGCCCTAAATGAAAAACCGAGAGGCGGACCTAAATAAAATAGACTTTTGAGAGGGGATCATAGGTTATAAACGTGATTGACTGAAATTTTAAGAACGCAACGCAACACAACCAAAGCTAGTGTGACAATAAAATGGTCAAAAAATGATATTTTTACTGGTTTGATTGTGTTAAAGTTTTACCTTAGATTTGTACTAGTTGTAGAGTTGTCTTCTCTAGTATAGCATGTTATGTTATGTAAAAATGTAAATAGTGCAAAAAACATCTTCAAATACTTTCTTAGTCGAGCAATCTGCGCTTGGAAAGAAAATAAACATGTGTTGAAAAAAATAAAAAGTGAAATGCGTTTTATCTAAAGCGAAAAGTTGCTCTCTGTTTTCCTTTTCGATTTTAAACGTTTCAGTAGCACTATTTCTTTGTCTCTACTTTCACCTTCAGCTTATGTTGATATAAAACACTTACTTTTAAGAGATATTATTTTGAATATGCACTCCCATTTTACACACTTCAAATGTTGTAAACATTTGTTAAGGGGATTTTTACTGCTGTTATACCATTTACACTTTTCACGCTGGTGATAATAAAGTTGCATAGATCACTTGAAATCATAGACAATTTATATATCCTCTATGATTAGCTTTTATCATAGTTCGAAGTATTGCTCTTCGTTTATGATTGGATTGCTTGTGTTATTATAAGTTGCTGTTTGCTACAAAATCAATCAATGAAAGTAAATACATTATAGATTGTATTATTCAAAAGGACTCCACTGAGTTTGTTTTTTTTACATGGCGGTACTTGAAATAACTTTTTGGGATTAATGTTCCATTTGATGTAGGTCTAAATAAATAACTTGTGTTCTTAACTTCAGATCATTCGCACACTCCGCTTCTCCAGAATATTTCTTAAGCAGTTTTGTATATCTTTCTGTTTTAAGTGTCGCAGGTCATTTATTTAAGTTATTCAAGATTCAATTTTTTAGGCATTTGGATCTCATTTGAGTCCCTTCAATTACCGATATATCAAAGAACTACCATGAAACTTTTAATATTTACAAGTACTTATTCATTTTGAAGACAGCATATTAAATAAAGTCTATCAGGATAAATTCAAAAATTATAAAAATGTAAACGTTTATTTTCAGATAGAAACAAAAATCCGCCAGCAACTTCTCTCAGATGTGGAAAATTATAACAATAAATCCAACCTTGATTTTGTACAAGCAAAGGCAAGTATTAAAATTTTAACCTTTCACTTGGTTAAACCTAGTTTGAAGAAACAAATTATCTTACACTAAAATTCTTTAAACAATACATTTAAAGTATTTGGCTTTTAATAATGTGTAGATAATTATGTACATTCGATTTTATTTTGGAGCGGTCTTTTAATGGTGTGTTTTATTCTATAATTTTTGGACACTATATTTGATTTAACTTTTTATTTTATTGTATTTATGTATATGTAAAAAGATATTTTCCGTTATATTATTGTAGTACATGTAGATAAATCGTTATCACGTTTTTGATAAAACAGAAACTGCTCGAGCTCTTGCGTAGAAAAGAACCTAATGTATTTGGAATCTTTCAAGCAGTTAATACACAAACATCCGATATTGGCCACCTGTATAATTTTATCATATTACAGCATCACGTAAACCTGTACACTAATTTGTCTAGATGTATTATAAATTATATTTAGGTATTAGATGTAAATGATACAGTCTTTGGAATGCCAATTTGTAATACTTGTTATTCAGAAAGATAAGTAAAAGCTTACAGGGCCTGATATTTACGATGTTCTCAATGACGCAAGAAATATTCTTGGGTTGAACGCGAGCGTTTTATCTGCAGCTTTAGTGATAATGTCTGCTGGAGGTTTAAATTCATTGATAGTGTCGGTGATAATATCAGCTGTTTGAAATGTTAGATTAGTACAACAATACTCTACTCCCTCTGGTCCACCAAATTTAATTGCATATCTGTGAATCTTCCTTTATATTCATAGATATGATATTAAATAACAATACTAGAATAGTAAGTCATATCTGTTTATCTTCCTACATAGTCATAAATATGATGTTTAAACGCAGTACTAGTATAGTAACATGAAAATCTAAGTATATCTTAGATTAAGATATCTGAAGCTTGACATTGTAAAAAAGAACAAGAAAATATTTCTTAATTATTGCATTATTTCTTAAATAAAATTATAATATGTTTTAATAATCCAACGTTTTCATGACAAATACAATCCAATGAATATGATAGTTTTAATTATACTTATACCATAAGAACTATCCTATAAACTTATAGCATGGAAACAAAATGTTGATATTGTGTAATACTCAATCAAGCCGAGTCTGCAATTTTCATGTAATTGTGTTGTGATTAATGCTTCTGAGGGATCACACTTTTTCAGACTTTTCTGACAATTATAAATATATTGCAGTTTGAATGTTGTGGAGCTGACAACTACACGAATTATAGGAATAGTATTTACTTCACAAGTGATGATAGCATGGTAAGTTACGTCACGTGCACATTTTTGCACATTTATTTATACTGGGGTCCTACATATTACCGGACAATCAGATTACCGGACAAAAGCTATTCCTGCCTAATAGTTTTTTATTTTTTGCTTTGATTCAAAAATCATACAGTCTGAATCGTACACACACTTTCTATGTCGAAGCAAATAACAACAAAACCACTCTCAGGTAAATATTTTTGATTCAGTTATTTATCTACAAACATGCCCTTTTGTTTACAAGTTATTACATGACCTGGTCATGCGGGGGAATAATCTGTTCTGCGCAGGCCCGAATATGGAGACCCTTAATGGGTTATTTAGATAGGTGTTACTTTTAATTCTTCTCACTGTTATTTCAGGAGACAATCGTAACATGCTTTTATGATTAAAAAAATTTAAATTTAGTCTAAAAAAATTTAAATTTAGTCCAAACGGTATCTCGTTGTTGTCGTTTACAAAGAAATACAAATTAAAAGCCATATAAGGAAACGGGTTACGCCCATGGGAGGAAACTCTACATGAAATATAAATCAAATATATTTTATGGCTTTAGTAACATGCTACATGATGACCAAAAGAAAACTGTTGTATGACAAAGAACAGAATTCCATTTGGACATCAAATCGTTTCATACGTTTAAGATTCATGAAGAATCAATACGTTAATTGAGTTAATAGTGTTAATTTCAATTACACCCCAGATATTGGCCTCTTCGTAAAAAGCGTAGCTGTCTAGTTTTAGAGACATACTAGTGTTTTCCAATATCTTAACCTTGTCTTTCAATAGTCGCCGTTTCTTTGCTGATTTCTTAAAGATTATTTCAATTCACGACTTCAAAAAATTTTGAAACGCAATGTACGGTAAATTGAGCTGTCTATACGATTTTTTCTCTGTTATAATGCCCTACTTTAAAGACACATCTCTACGGTCAAATGTTTAATTTCATGTTTGTTAATGTAATGCTTACTTGTATTAAGAACCCAATATTATTCAGGTAAAATTCCATTCTTTTTTATTGTTTTAAATAAAAATTACAGCGAAACAACATCATATTTTGTCCGGTAATATGTAGGATCCCAGTAGTGTGTAGAGTTTAACTTGTAACGGAACTCTAAAAGATAGGCTTGAATGATTACTATACTATTTTAAACATTGTGTGAATTGTGTTAACAAACTGACCGAATTTTATCCTTAAATTCTATCACACGTTGTGTATTACATCCTATTTTATGATATACAAATTGCTCAATCTATGTACACTATTTTGAGAAATAATAATTACTTTTGTATTTCTATGTAATGCTTTCCATTTGTTTTATTCAAGACTACGTTCGTACCTGACAGCTGTTGTAAGAGTGATGGTAACAAAGGTCCTGTAGACAGAGAGGCATGCCAATCAGCAGCTAAATCAGGACTCCCGAATGACAACTTGTTTACAACGGTTTATATATAAATATATTCTACCATTTACAAAATAAAACGGCATATATTTTTATAACTTTATAGATTAAAGAAAATAAAACCGAATTCCTAAAGAACGCCTAAAAACGGCAAAATTTAGAATATTTTAGGCTTGCAGTAGTGGTAATGTGGTAGAAAAGAATTGATACGACGCTATTCCGCGGAGCAAATCTTGGCAAGAAAGCATAAAATACCATTCCAATACAACGAAATGAGTGGTAATCAAAATATTAGGAACTGATCATTAATTCAAAACATTGATAAATAAGAATGCCCTGTTTCTAACAATTTTATTTTTTTATTTGGGTTAAGTCTTATCACTAAGAAGTTCATTGCTTACAAAATTTGCATCTCAATATATCGTTCATGATATGAGTTTTTTTCTTAAAGATATCTCGTACGATAAAACTTGAATGCTCTCAGTCTCATTTATTCAATTCGTTTTATCAAATATTTGAATTTTCAGGGATGTTTCAATATAATAAAAGGTTTGATAGAAGACAATAGTGCTATACTGATTGGTATAACGGCAGGGATTATAGTTATAGAGGTAAATGTTTTATTATAATCACATTTATAATACTGGGTTTTTATGTCACTCCCACACAACACAAGTCATAAATCGACGTCCCAGCTTCCCTGGTGGAGGTAGACGACAGGTGCCCCTCTGTGCATTATTTCAGACTCAAACGGACACCTGAGTAAAATCAACGTTTTTCAGTAAGCCAGTTGGATCGCTTCCTCACTTGAAAGAAACCAAAGTCATGTGTGATTCGAGTTCATATCGAACAGGGGCCAATGGTCTTAACCACGTGGCAATGGACGCTACCTGTTAAAGATAATTCACCATGGCATCCTTGTTGTGTTTGTGACACTTCATATTCTCAATATTCGATCATGTCTCCAATGACTATCAAATTCCGGCATTTATAATTTATATGTTAATTCACTCTCTAGGGATATAAACTTTTACTTGGACTTTTTTTTATTATATTGTCTTGGTATCGTTCTGTCAGTTTATTCTGTATCCTTATATGTATTTCATTGACTTTTCATTTTCATATATCTAGTGCTGGTGTGCATCTCCATATTTACATCTGAGTTCTTTCTTTGCCATTTACATGTTATTATTTACACAATAATGGCCTCTTATATTGCCATTTCAAAATCTTTGTTTCTTGATCTGATGCTTGCAGTACGTCAATTACTTGTGTTAGTAAGTGAATTATATGCATTATTTATTACAACCACTTTAATTATAATGTAGTGTTTTTATATTTTTTATATCTTTATTTATATTTCACGGACAATTTATCTTTTATTTACCTTTGAAGATGTTTACAGTGCTTCTTCACAGTGTTTCATTATTTTTATAATAATTACTTGGTGTCATGTTTGCAGTATTTTTATATTTATATTTCAGTTACTTGGTATCGTGTTTACAGTATTTCTGTATTAATATTTCAGTTACTTGGTATCGTGTTTACAGTATTTCTGTATTAATATTTAAGTTACTTAGTATCGTGTTTACAGTATTTCTGTATCAATATTTCAGTTACTTGGTATCGTGTTTACAGTATTTCTGTATTAATATTTCAGTTACTTGGTATCTGTTTACAGTATTTCTATATTTATATTTCAGTTACTAGGAACCGTGTTTACAGTATTTCTGTATCAATATTTCAGTTACATGATATCGTGTTTACAGTATTTCTGTATTTATATTTCAGTTTCTTGGTATCGTGTTTGCAGTATTTCTATATTTATATTTCAGTTACTTGGTACCGTGTTTACAGTATTTCTATATTTATATTTCAGTTACTTGGTACCGTGTTTGCAGTATTTCTGTATTTATATTTCAGTTACTTGGTATCGTGTTTGCGGTATTTCTATATTAATATTTCAGTTACTTGGTTTCGTGTTTACAGTATTTCTATATTAATATTTAAGTAACTGGGTACCGTGTTTACAGTATTTATGTTTCAGTTACTTGGTATCGTATTTGCGGTATTTCAGTATAGATATTTAGGTTACTTGGTATCGTGTTTACAGTATTTCTATGTTTATATTTTAAGTTACTTGGTATCGTGTTTGCAGTATTTCTATATTTATATTTCAGTTACTAGGAACCGTGTTTACAGTATTTCTGTATTTATATTTCAGTTACTTGGTACCGTGTTTACAGTATTTCTGTATTTATATTTCAGTTACTTGGTATCGTGTTTACAGTATTTTTGTTTCAGTTACTTCGTACCGTGTTTGCAGTATTTCTGTATTTATATTTCAGTTATTTGGTATCGTGTTTACAGTATTTCTGTTTCAGTTACTTGGTTCCGTGTTTGCAGTATTTCTATATTTATATTTCAGTTACTTGGTACCGTGTTTGTGGTATTTCTATAATTATATTTCAGTTACTTGGTATCATGTTTGCAGTATTTCTATATTTATATTTCAGTTACTTGGTACCTTGTTTGCGGTATTTCTATAATTATATTTCAGTTACTTGGTATCGTGTTTGCAGTATTTCTATATTTATATTTCAGTTACTTAATTGGTACCTTGTTTGCGGTATTTCTATAATTATATTTCAGTTACTTGGTATCGTGTTTGCAGTACTTTTATATTTATACTTCAGTTACTTGGTATCGTGTTTGCAGTATTTCTATATTTATATTTCAGTTACTTGGTACCGTGTTTACAGTATTTCTATATTTATATTTCAGTTACTTGGTATCGTGTTTACAGTATTTCTGTTTCAGTTACTTGGTATCGTGTTTACAGTATTTCTGTATTAATATTTCAGTTACTTGGTATCGTGTTTACAGTATTTCTGTATTAATATTTCAGTTACTTGGTATCGTGTTTACAGTATTTCTGTATTAATATTTCAGTTACTTGGTATCGTGTTAACAGTATTTCTCTATTAATATTTCAGTTACTTGGTATCATGTTTACAGTATTTCTGTATTTATGTTTCAGTTACTTGGTATCATGTTTGCAGTATTTCTGTATCAATATTTCAGTTACTTGGTATCATGTTTACAGTATTTCTGTATTAATATTTCAGTTACTTGGTATCGTGTTTGCAGTATTTCTGTATTAATATATCAGTAACTTGGTACCGTGTTTGCGGTATTTCTGTATTTATTTTTCGGTTACTTGGTATCGTGTTTACAGTATTTCTGTATTAATATTTCAGTTACTTGGTATCGTGTTTACAGTATTTCTGTATTAATATTTCAGTTACTTGGTATCGTGTTTACAGTATTTCTATATCTATATTTCAGTTACTTGGTATCGTGTTTACAGTATTTCTGTATTAATATTTCAGTTACTTGGTATCGTGTTTGCAGTATTTCAATATTTATATTTCAGTTACTTGGTATCGTGTTTACAGTATTTCAATATTTATATTTTAAGTTACTTGGTAGCGTGTTTGCAGTATTTCTGTTTTTATATTTCAGTTACTTGGTATCGTGTTTACAGTATTTCTGTATTTATATTTCAGTTACTAGGTATCGTGTTTACAGTATTTCTGTATTTATATTTGAGTTACTTGGTATCGTGTTTGCAGTATTTCTGTATTTATATTTCAGTTACTTGGTATCGTGTTTACAGTATTTCTGTTTCAGTTACTTGGTATCGTGTTTACAGTATTTCTGTATTAATATTTCAGTTACTAGGTATCGTGTTTACAGTATTTCTTTTTTTATATTTCAGTTACTTGGTATCGTGTTTGCAGTATTTTTATGTAGGAACAGAACTGACTACGACTACTATGACGATTAAAAGATAGAGGAACTACTTTTCTTTAAAAGAAAGAGATTAAGATTCATATCCACCTTTTTGAGGGTTTTGTTTAAAAGTTGCATTAAAATTGATTTTCTGTATATTTCGAGATAGATTTTTAACTGCAAGGTTGATATCTTCGTCAGGATTAATGATTACATCTTATGACAAATTTAAATGATTTATGTTTGCCTGAAAGCAGTTAATGAACAGATTACTCGGTTTGATGTAATATATCTCAAACAAACCAGATCATCTACATTATAAACACTCATTATAATTGTGACTTTAATTATTGGAGTTTGACCAATATGTTTTAACATTGCAAAAATGTGCGTTTCTGTCCACATTAAGTGCCTTATAGGAATGAAATCAATTGTGACCAAAGCTTTATCAATCCATAGACATGAAAGAAGAATTGTCAAATCATAGCTTTTATCATTGAAGGTTGGTCCATTCAGTATAATTTTTTTGAGTTTTTCGTCTGTTTCATGTTGCCGTAACAACAAAATATTTGTATTTCTATTTTTATTGCAATTATGCTGTTTACATTTATCTAATATTTTTTACTAATATAAAAGAGGTTCGAGTCTACTAGATTGTAAAGTAATTAACGAAAGTAATTTTGTTCGAATGTTACATACTTGTTTTACACTTATAATTCATTTAAAAGAGAATAAGGATACATTACATGTATGTGCCATTTATTTCTTGCCTCTCAGTAACTAATCATTCAAATAGTAATTAAATAAATAAATGAGATTAAATTACTTATGATATATAAAACATTTAACATACTCGTTTCCGTAAGTCTTTTTAAGACAAAAAAAAATCATTTACCTTTTGTGCATGGGAAGATAAAAAAAAAACAGCCCTAAAATCTGCTTAAAATGGGCATTATTGAGCCGCGTCACGACAAAACCAACATAATGGGTTTGCGACCAGCATGGATCCAGACCAGCCTGCGCATCCGCGCAGTCTGATCAGGATCCATGCTGTTCGCTGTCCGTTTCTCTACTTGTAATAGGGTTGGTAAGCGAACAGCATGGATCCTGATCAGACTGCACGGATGCGCAGGCTGGTCTGGATCCATGCTGGTCGCAAACCCATTACGTTGGTTTTGTCTTGACGCGGCTCATATAACGATACAGCGCTGTATATACTGCCTAAATGAAAGACAAACCTCTAGAAACGTTCATTAGCACATCTTATTAGTCTCATTCATGCATTTGATAAATAGATGAAGGCACAATAAATATTGCTGCATACAGGACACCCTGAGATATTCTGAACTCAAAAACCGTTAATAGTTTATCGCCTTTACATTTCCTTAAGTTTGTATTGTTTGCTACAATATGGAGATTTATTGTATACTGTAATGTAGATTTTGTCAGTCAACTATAATTTATTGATTTATTTTCATTATATTCTCTAGAAGCTCACTTCACATGCTAAAATTCTGGATGATTATGTAAAGTTACAATGATATAAGGATACGTTTTTGACAGTTACGTTATATAATCTTCCCGAATTATTCAGCATTATTTTGCTTGTTTGTCCTTCCTCGTCTTTCGTCAGTCATGCCGTCAAACTAACTTACCGATTCTCCAACTTTATTACTTGTCTTGTATCTCCGATGCTATCTTGGTACATGCCTTTCATATATCTTATACTTATGGTAGGTATGGAAAGGCCAAAGGCAATTGATAGATGCCTACTCTGGCCTTTAATTTGAATAACAATGTATTTAACCACAAACATTGACATGTGCTCTTTTGTTAGCAAAAATCTTGTGGTGAAATTCTTGTATCTACTAATCTGATAATTCGAATTTGACAGGGATCTATGTATGGCAATGAGGCTTAAGTATCCCCGTAATATTTAAGCCTTGCCAGTAAGAAATCGGGAGCAGTTACAAATGTTACCAAAATTTGTATTATGTGGGTTTTTTTCCTTTTGTTTTGCATAAATAAGACTATTGTTTAAAAGAAATTTAAAAAGATATTGCTGTATTGTTGTATATCATATTATTGTAAGAGAGTTGTGATTTTCATATTTGTGTCATAGTGTTGTACCTTGGTCTGAATGTATATTTGAGGGAATCTTTAATTAATATAGTGTATTTAGCATGGTGAGCAAATGAGAGGAGATATTTCCATTTTGCTTGTTTAAATGTTGCATTAATTCTCTCGCAAAGATTGTACTGTGTCGAAATGAAGTAATGCGGAATGAAATATTTAAAAAAACAAGACATTTCGAGTTGACTTGTTTTTTTTACTTCCTGAACTGAATGTTAAGAATAAGGCAATGTTAAATTTCAAGGTTTTCTGACAAATTATATATTAAAACACCCATTAACACGCACCTGGATAGTTTTACCAAAATATAAAAAGTTGAGAAGGAAATAACGTTTAGTATCTTAGAAATATACAATCTCTTATTTGACTGGTAAAAACAAGCAGCATATTTAAGAAGATACTGATTAAGGTACAAAGGTACAAATACTTTATTTAGCCCATGCAAAAACATATATACAAAAAAACACAAAATTTATAGCATGTGCACAATGTTTAAACATATACTATATATATTTAACTGAAAATGACTGTAAAGCATAAAAAAAAATTTGGGATTTTCTTAATTATCTTTGTGTATCAAGGACATATTGATTGTTAAACTTCCTTTTTTCAAAAGCGCAATACAAAAATGTTGCTGTACCCTTTATAATATCATCAATTTTTGTAGACATTAATATATTAAATTTGTTTCGGATTGGTGCATTTAGGTACTTAATGGGTAGATATAAATTTCTTAGTTCTGAATAAAAATCACAACATAGTAAAAAATGAAACTCATCTTCTATTACATTCTTAGAACATTTTGTGCATAATCTGTTTTCCCTCGATATCTTTTTATGTCGACCAACCTCAATTTCAAGATGATGTGACCTTATTCTAAAATTAGAGTATATACACGCCCGTTTAACTCACAACGAGTGAAAAATGTCCATCGGTTAAAATGTTGTGAGAAACTTCCGTTCCTCGTTGTGAGCACCCATCTTTGACGTGTGACACGATAAACAAGGTGAGTTTTTCATAATTTTTAAAGATTACAGACATTTATGTAAAAATATCGAAATGCAGTTAGCTAGCGATGTGTTTTCCGAGTATGCACATGTAAAGATATTGCCTGTTGGTTGACAATTTGATGGAAATACCGTGCGACGCAGTCACTCGGGGTAGCAGGAAAACTGGAGGCAACTTCTCTTTGGACCTAATTTAACATTGAAAACGTCGATTCTGGTGACGTTTTGTGCATTCTAACCTAAAACAGATGCCCACAAGTCTTCAGCGTAAATTATAATCTGAAAGTCTTCATAGAAACGAGGATATACCCTGTTTTGCTTCAATCCTCGTTGTGAGCACCATAACCTCGTTGTGAGCAAGACAAGCGCAGTCCTTGTCTGGTTTTAATATGAAATTCAAATGGCAAGAATACAATTTTCAATCTACCAAAAGCAATCAAAACGTTTTTGTACAATAGTTTTTCTTTGCAATAGTTCTTCTTTTTCTTTTTTGAAAATAATATTTTTCATATTCACAAGTCATCAGATTAACAGAAGAACTAATCAGTGGAGGTAAATTAGCTATTTTATTTCGTATACTCTAGTGTGGCACGAGTGAACATCACAGGGAGTTTATGAATATTTCAACAATTTCACAATCTGTGGGATACACACATACATATGTTTATCCTGAGCTGAAGACTGACCAAGTTATGAAAAACAAGAACTATCACGGTAAGTTGACAATGCCCCCGAAGTGGCGTTTTGTCCTTTGATTTATGGACCAGATAGATTATTTGATTTTGGACAATAAGATCTTCAATGTGAAGGTCATTCAAGGTCAAGGTGAAATAAATATAGGTCAGTTGGAAGGTCTTGTCCAAAGGGGCATTGTGTCCAAATATGAATTAATTCCACTTACTTATAAAGAAGTATGACCAATGTTAAAGTTTTGGATGTTCTAGGTCATTCAGGGTACAAAGTAAAAAAATACAGATCAGTTTGAAGGTCTTGTCTGTTTGTTGTTTCAAAATATGAGTAGAATCCGTATGCTAATAAGGAAGTTTTGACCAATTTTTTAGTTTTGGACAATTTGACCTTCAAGGTGAAGGTCATTCAGGGTCAAGGTCAAAAGAATATAGGATAGCTGAAAGGCCTTGTCCAAAGATGTGTTTGTGCCTAAACAATATGCCAAATCTTAATTGTTTTTGGACAATTTGACCTTCAAGGTAAAGGCCATTCAGGGGCCAAGGTGAAAAAAACAGGTCCGTAGGAAGGTCCTGTTCTTCGGGATGTTGTGTTCAAATATGAATCAAATTCGTTTACTAATACGGAAGTTATGGCCAATGTTTAGTTTTCGGACAAATTGACGGACTGACAGACGGACAGTTCAAAACTAATATGCCTTCCTTTGGTGTATGCACAACGTCTTGCAAAGAAATGCTGCTGTGCAAAAACGTTTTAATTGCTGTGGTAGATTGAAAATTATATTTTCACCATCTGAATTACATATTAAAACCATACACGCACTGCGCTTGTCTCGCTCACAACGAGGTTATGGTGCTCACAACGAGGATTAAAGCAAAAAAGGGTATATCCTCGTTTCTATGAAGACTTTCAGATAATAATTTACGCTGAAGACTTGTGGGCATCTGTTTAAGGTTAGAATGCACAAAACGTCACCAGAATCGACGTTTTAAATGTTGAATTAGGTCCAAAGAGAAGTTGTCTCCAGTTTTCCTGCTACCCCGAGTGACTGCGTCGCACGGTATTTCCATCAAATTGTCCACCAACACGCAATATCTTTACATGTGCATACTCGGAAAACACATCGCTAGCTAACTGCATTTCGATACTTTTACATGAATGTCTGTAATCTTTAAAAATTATGAAAAACTCACCTTGTTTATCGTGTCATACGTCAAAGATGGGTGCTCACAACGAGGAACGGAAGTTTCTCACAACATTTTTACCGATGGACATTTTTCACTCGTTGTGAGTTAAACGGGCGTGATATATATCTTAATTACATTATGTAAAATGTTCCTGAAACGTACCATAATAATGACAAGTTTACATTAGAAGTTACAGATGAATGCCATTCTTGTTTGTATATATCTTTTAACCTATTTACAAATTGTGCTATAAAGTATTTTTCTGATGTAACTGATTGACTTTCCCATACATATCCAAAACTTTCGATTTCCTTGATAGTGAAATATTTACCATAAGCTTTTACTAGAAAAACACCTAGTTACACGATATTATCTTTTAAAATGTAGTATTGGATTGATTACTGCATGTTTTGATCAAACTTAGTTTCTCGAAGGTTTGAAGCTTAGTCACAAAAAAGCAAGAGTAAAGTTTTAGTGATTTTTAAATTAACAATATCGAGATATTTGGACGAATTTTTATTATCACAGCAATAGGTTTAAAGTTTTGTGTCGTAGACTTTTACATTTTGAAATTGTTTAGACTTATATGATTTTTTCTTGTAAGATGTGTGACATCTATCATTTGCTGTACAAGTATAAAACACTTCAGGAAAGTTTTGTTAAAACAGACATTATAAAATCTAAACAAAATGCATTTGAGCCGTGTCACGACAAAACCAACATAATGGGTTTGCGACCAGCATGGATCCAGACAAGCCTGCGCATCCGCGCAGTCTGATCAGGATCCATGATGTTCGCTTACAAACCCTATTACAAGTAGAACAGCATGGATCCTGATCAGACAAGAAGAATTTATCATACAAATAAGCATTGAGTATATACTAAAGGATTAATTAATGTGTCATTATCTGATTTTCTTTAAAACAAAACAGACACTTTAAGATTCTGCAATACTTTTTTCTTTATTTCGTTTTTAAAGTGTCATTTCGAATTCTTTCAATTATATTATGTTTTTGAGAAAGGAATTTGAAATATAAGTTAGACGGTAGTTTTTCTGTTATCTTCTAGGTGTCTGCTGCTTTAAATAATTAAATAAATAATATAAGTAATGCATTGCTCATCTAAGTTTCAGGCGAAGAAATTCTAAATTCCGTTTCAATACACAATGGGAAAAAAGAAAAAAAAAGCATTTTTTTAACGCAATGTTTCATTTAAAGAACAGAACAGAATATTGATTTTGACTTAAGCAAATACAGCTTATCATCAATCATGAAAATATAATACATGTACATTCAATAGCATGCAAAACAAGTTGTTAGTTGCATAGAAGAAGAAAAACAATGTAATCAGTAAGCATCAAATAAAATTGGCAAATATATATTACACACAAGTCAGCATTTGATATTATTAAACTTAAAGATTAATGTGATTGTTTCTTACTTTCAGAGCTCTTGAAATAAT